CACACACACACACACACACACACACACACACATACACACACACACACACACACACACACACACACACACACACACACACACACACACACACACACACACACACACACACACACACACACACACACTCACACACACACACACACTCACACTCACACATTCACACACACGCACACACACACACACACACACACACACACACACACACACACACACACACACACACACACACACACACACACACACACACACACACACACACACACACACACACACACACACACACACACACACACACACACTCACTCACACACACTCACACACCATTCACACACACGCACACGCACATTCACACGCACTACGCGCGCGCATTCCCTTCATTCTCGTCTCCCGCCCCCTCCGCCCTCAGCCTCCTTCACACATGTGTTTTCTCTCCCTCTCCTACCCTTTTCCCGAACAATTTTTATGGCTTAAGCCCCATAAACCTCGCAGAAGTGAGACTTGCTTGACGCTCCCTTACTCCCTCCCTCTCGCTCCCCGAAGTCTGCTTTGGCCGTCGCCGAGGACCTGGCCCTCGTGGCGCCTCGTCTCGAAAACAAGGCCAGAAAACAGTCGCTTTACATGACGCCGCCAGCCTCGTGGGAGCGCAGGCCGAGACCCTTGGCCATGTCCCTCGAGCGCGCCTTTGACGAGACCCACAGGTCCTGAAGACTTTTGTGAATTACCTCTTCTTGCTTGGAGTGGATTGGGAATCTACCCGTAATGATGAGAAGTAGTTTTGTATACACGAGTGTAAGATACACTGGGAAGTATGAGAGGAGAGAAGAGGAGGTGAACATCTTATCGCTTGGAGTGAAGTGATTAGGAATCTACCCGTAAGGATGTGAAGTAGTTCCGTATACACGAGTATAAGATACACTGGGAAGTATGAGAGATGAGAGGAGGGGAGAGGAGAGGAGAGGAGAGGAGGGGAGGAGGAGGAGAGGAGGAGAAAAACGAGCAGCGGTCGCTAGAGGGCCCGGGAGGCCTGTGGTGACCAGGGAGATAAAGGGGGAGATATTTGTGGGTGAAGAGGGATGAGAGATTGGGAATGTTGGAGGAGGCGGTGGAGGAGCGTGGAGAGAGGAACGAGAAAAGGCCAAGTAGGAGAGCGAGCGGGGAGGGACAGAGAGTGAGGAGGAGAGTTACAGAAAAGGATCAACGTGAAAGAAGAATCTCTCCCTTTGCTCGAAACATGAGAATTATGGATAATCTCTCTCTCTCTCTCTCTCTCTCTCTCTCTCTCTCTCTCTCTCTCTCTCTCTCTCTCTCTCTCTCTCTCTCTCTCTCTCTCTCTCTCTCTCTCTCCCCTCTCTCTCCCCCTCTCCCCTCTCCCCCTCTCCCCCTCCCCCTCTCTCCCTCTCTCCCTCCCTCCCTCCCCTTCCTTCCTCCCTTTCTCCCTCCTCCCTCCCCTCCCTCCCCCCTCTCCATGCCTCTCTATATCTATCTATCTATCTATCTATCTATGTATCTTCCTGCGTGTCCGTGTTATTAACTGGTGTCCGTGTAATTATATTGTTAACTCACCTAAGAGTATACTTCATTTACTTATACTGATTTATCTACTTACAGGTATGTCACTGCAATCTTCCGAGGTGTTCCGTGAGCAGGTAAGCCTGTAGCGCTTCCCCAATTGTAGGTCCATGTCTCTCCTTCTGCCTTTCGCTTTGCTTTCGTTATCACGATTTTGCCTCATTTCTCGTTTATTATAGTTGTCTTCTTCCTTCGCCTTCCTCTCCCTCTTATTCTGCTTTTTCTTCTTCTACTCTTCCTTACTTTTCCTCTTTTTTTTCTTATTCTACTACTTTTACTTCTTATTTTCCTTCTGCTTCTTCTTCTGCTTATGTCTCCTCTTCTTCTCATTCTGTTTCTTTTTCCTTTCCCCCCTTCCCCTCCCCCCCTCCCCCCTCCGTCCCTCCGTCTCATGCGCCCCGCGACCTCTCAGCCAGCGTGGCGCCGACGGGAGCGTGCGTGCGTACGTGCGTGGACGGGCCTCGCAGCGCGTGTCTCAAAACAAGGATGGAAAACGAGCGAGTGAGAGTAAATTGGTGTGGGCTCCTCGGACTCTGGCAGCTGTCACGCCGGAAGTTAGTTGAGGGGTTATCAGATGGGCGTGGTAAAGGGGGAGGGGAGGGAGCGGGAGGGCGAGAGCAATGGTGAGGGTGGGGTTGGGGGGCAGACTGCTTGGCTGAGAGACCCTGCACTGGTTTAAAAGCCTTGCTAGTGTGATCGGTCCACGCTAGCGTTTCTGAATGTACTTTAGGGACACAGACAATAAAAAAAGATACATAGACACACGAACGCAAGACACATACAGGTGGACAGAGTGACAAATAGGCAGACAGACAGACAGACAAGTAGACAGGTTGGCAGATGACAAACCGAGAGACAATCTAGTACAGGACACATACAGCAGGCTGCGCTGCCATGCCCCGTGGGCCCAGAGGACTGCCCACGGCGCGTGGGGGCGCAGAGGGCGTGACCCCGACAGACCACCAGAGCCCCCTCGCCCTTATAAGGTTCCCGCCCCGCCCTCCGCCGGACAGCCCCTTATTTGCTCAGGAATATCCCACAGGAACCTCGCTGCTTCCGCGGTAAAGGTCCGGCTGTGAGGAACACTTGTGGCGGCAGATGGCGCAGGCGCTCTCTCTCTCTCTCTCTCTCTCTCTCTCTCTCTCTCTCTCTCTCTCTCTCTCTCTCTCTCTCTCTCTCTCTCTCTCTCTCTCTCTCTCTTCTCTCTCTTCTCTTCTCTTCTCTCTCTCTCTCTCTCTCTCTCTCTCTCTCTCTCTCTCTCTCTCTCTCTCTCTCCTCTCTCTCCTCTCTCTCTCTCTCTCTCTCTCTCTCTCTCTCTCTCCTCTCTCTCTCTCTCCTCTCTCTCTCCTCTCTCTCTCTCTCTCTCCTCTCTCTCTCTCTCTCTCTCTCTCTCTCTCTCTCTCTCTCTCTCTCTCTCTCCTCTCTCTCTCTCTCTCTCTCTCTCTCCTCTCTTTTCTCTCTCTCTCTCTCTCTCTCTCATCATCTCTCCCCTCTCCCTCTCCCTCTCCCTCTCCTCTCCTCCCTCCTCCTCCCTCCCTCCCTCCCTCTCCCTCCTCCGTCTCCCACCTCTCTTTCTCTCTCCTTCTCTCTCATCCCTCACCCTTCCCCTTCTTTTCCCTCCCTTTTTCTCGTCTCTTCTCTATCCCTCCCTCCCTCTCCCTCCTCTCTCCCTCTCTCTCTCTCTCTCTCTCTCTCTCTCTCTCTCCTCTCTCTCTCTTCTCTCTCTCTCTCTCTCTCCTCTCTCTCTCTCTCTCTCTCTCTCTCTCTCTCTTCTCTCTCCTCTCCCTCTCCCTCCTCTCCTCCTCCTCCCCCTCCCTCCCTCCCTCCCTCCCCTCCCTCCATCTCTCTCTCTCTCTCTCTCTCTCTCTCTCTCTCTCTCTCTCTCTCTCTCTCTCTCTCTCTCTCTCTCTCTCTCTCTCTCTCTCTCTCTCTCTCTCTCTCTCTCTCTTCTCTCTCTCTCTCTCTCTCTCTCTCTCTCTCTCTCTCTCTCTCTCTCTCTCTCTCTCTCTCTCTCTCTCTCTCTCTCTCTCTCTCTCTCTGTCTCTCTCTCTCTCTGTCTCTCTCTCTCTCCCTCTCTCTCTCCCTCTCTCTCTCTCTCTCTCTCCCTCTCCGTCTCTCTCTCTCTCTCTCTCTCTCTCTCTCTCTCTCTCTCTCTCTCTCTCTCTCTCTCTCTCTCTCTCTCTCTCTCTCTCTCTCTCTCTCTCTCTCTCCTCTCCCCTCTCCCTTCTCCCTCTCCCTCTCCCTCTCCCTCTCCTCCCTCCCCCTCTCTCTCTCTCTCTCTCGCTCTCGCTCTCTCTCCTTTTCTCTATCCATTTCTCTCGCTCTCTCTCCTCTCTATCCATTCTCTCTCTCTCTCTCAGTCTTTCTCCTTCCACCGATCTACCTCTCCTCTTTCTCCCTCCCTCCCTCCTTCCCTCCCTTCTCCCTCTTCCTCCTCCCTCTCCCTCTCCCTCTCCTCTCCGTCCCTCCTCCTCTCACTGGAAGAGAGCGGGGCGCGGCGCCAGACCCACAGAGAGCCGAGGACAAAACCATAAGAAAAGCGAAAGGAGCAGACAGCAGCTAAAAATAGACGTCATCAACGAGGCGGAATAGCTATTGGAGATGAAATTTCGCGCATTGGATTCTTTGTCCCTTTATGGAATCGTCGTCTATATATATACGTGCGGAGGGCAGCGTCGCCATGGCAACCGCGAGAAACGGGACAAGGTGTGCGTGTGCGTTCGAAAAAGAAACGGAGGCGGGCGTGTGTGAAGGCATGAACTCTCGGCGATTGTTGCTAGCGAACGCAGCGGAGGAAATTTTTCGAGAGAGCGAGATGTGATTTGAAATTATGTTTTCTTTGGATGAATGTGGATTTTCTGTTGTTGTTTTTTTTCTTCTTCTTCTTCTTTCTTCTTTCTTCTTCTCTATTATCATCAATAATCGTTATTATTCATAACTTTTTTGGTTATTGTTTATTGATGTATTCGTTGTTGTTTGTTTATTGTTATTGTTATTATCATTATTATTTTTTTAATTGGTTGTTATTATTGTTGTTTATTGTTGCCATTATTGTTATTATTATCATTGTTGTTATCGTCATCAGCACCACAACCACCACCGCCATCATCATCATCATTATCATTATCACACACCAACACCATCATCATCATCATCACCACCACCACCGCCACCAAAATAATAATCATTTCACTATCATTAGCCTCATTATTTTGCCCCCGTGTCCCTGAGGAGGCTGGGTCTAACGAGGCCATCGGACCGGGCTTCTTTGTCAATTAGCAGCTCCAAAGTGCGAGACAAAGCGAGTGTGTTGCAGCTCATTAAAAGCTCTAGAGCGCGTGGAAGGGCGCTGCTTAGCTCGTAACGAAGGAGGAGGAGCTGCACCGCCCCGACTGCCTCGCCTTTCGGGGCCTTCGGAGCGCAGGAAAGGGTCAGCTGAGTCGGAGGGGGGAAGGGTGACGCTCGTGCCGGCTGACGTTCCCTAAGGTTTTGTAGTCGTAGCTTGGGGGGTCCTTGCAGGTCTTGGCTCTTTGGCTCTTGTCGTAGCTCAGGCGTAGCTTGGGTTGGCTTTGGCTTCTATCGCTTTGGGGTCTTTGGGTCGAGTAAGCTTGGGTTGGGTCTTTGGCTGGTCTTGAGGTCGTAGCTTGGGGTTGGGGTCTTTGGCTGGTCTTGAGTCGTAGCTTGGTTGGGTCTTTGGGGTTTTGCTGAGGTCGTAGCTTGGGGTTGGGGTCTTTGGCTGGTCTTGAAGTCATAGCTTGGGTTGGGTCTTTGGCTGTCTTGAGTCGTAGCTTGGGTTGGGGTCTTGGCTGGTCTTGAGTCGTAGCTTGGGGTTGGGTCTTTGGCTGGTCTAGTTGGGGTTGGGGTCTTTGGCTTTGTCTCGTAGCTTGGTTGGGGTCTTTGGCTGATCTAGCTTGGGTTGGTCTTGCTGGTCTTGAAGTCTTTGGGTTGGGGTCTTTGGCTGGTCTTGAGGTCGTAGCTTGGGTTGGGGTCTTGGGTCTTCTTTGAGGTCGTAGCTTGGGTTGGGGTCTTTGGCTGGTCTTGAGGTCGTAGCTTGGGTTGGGGTCTTGGCTGTCTTGAGTCGTAGCTTGGGGTTGGGGTCTTTGGCTGGTCTTGAAGGTCATAGCTTGGGGTTGGGGGTCTTGCTGTCTTGAAGTCGTAGCTTGGGTTGGGGTCTTTGGCTGTCTTGAAGTCGTGCTTGAGGTCGTAGCTCGGGGTTGGGGTTTAAGTTCTTGGCTGGTCTTGAAGTCGTAGTGAGTCGTAGCTGGGGTTGGGGTCTTGGCTGGTCTTGAAGCTTGGGGTTGGGTCTTTGTAGTCGTAGTTGGGGTTGGGGTCTTTGGCTGGTCTTGAGGTCGTAGCTTGGGGTCTGGGTCTTTGGCTAGCCCACTCCGCTCTCGCTGTTCCTGCCTCGCCACAGCTCACGAAGACGGAGAGAGAGAGAGAGAAAGAAAAGAAAAAGAAGAGAGAAAGAGAAGAAGAAGAAGAAAAGAAAGAAAAAGAAAGAGAGACATCAAACGAACTTACCTGCTTGCGAATTATCTGGGACCGCGCGTGTGGGATCATCGTTACATTCAATGAGGCGGAGAGAGGAGGGAAACGAGGATGGCATCGATCGCGGAGGGGCGCGCCTTCGGGGGAGCGGAGGAGGGAATTAGGGTGTGTGTGTATGTGTCTGTCTGTCTCTTACTACTACTACGACTACTTTTACTATTACTGCTACTACTACTGCTGCTGCTACTACTGCTGCTGCTGCTGCTGCTGCTGCTACTACTACTACTACTACTACTACTACTACTACTACTACTACTACTACTACTACTACTACTACTACTACTACTACTACTACTACAATTACTACTGTTGCTACTATTTTACTTACTACTACTACTGCTTTGCTACTACTAATACTGCTATTACTGATACTACTACTGTTACTACTACTACTATTACTGCTACTACATCTACTATTGCTACTACTACCGCTACTAATACGACTACTGTTACTACTATAACTACTACTGCTACTACTACTGCTACTAACACTACTACCGCTACTACTACTGCGCTGTTACTACTACTTCTACTGCTACTGCTACTATCACTACAATTACTACTGCTACTACTACTACAATTACTACTACTACTACTACTACTATTACTACAACTACTACTACTACTACTACTACTACTACTACTACTACTACTACTACTACTACAATTACTACTGCTATTACCACTGCTGCTACTACTACTACTGCTACTGCTAATATTGCTGTTGTTACTATTATTAGCATTAGGTGCCCTTATTACTATTAATGAAAGTTACGAAGAAGGTAATGATAACGACAACAACGATGCTAATAATGTAAGAGATAACAGTGATAGAGAAAGAAGAGAGAGCAGTCCGTGAGCAGGAGGAGGGCCGGGGTGAGGTGGGGGGGGTGAGGAGGCTGATCCCGGGCCGCAGGAACAGATCAGGAAGTCCGGAAATGTGTCACGGGAAGGCCCGCTTGATAAGGAGAGGAAATTGTGTTGAGCGTGAGAGGAGGAGGGAGGAGGGAGAGAGAAAGAGAGAGTAAGGGCGGTCGGGCGAATGGGAAAGGAAAGGGAAGGGTTGGGGGAGAGTGACGGGTAGGGAAGGAGAGGGGAGTGGGGAAGGGAGGGTAATAAAAGGTGTGCGAGAAGGAAGTGAGGGAGAGAAAGGTAGAGGGAGAAAGTAAATGCAAGGATGCAAGGCGCCAGGGTAATAGAATTGCTGAAAGCGGATAAGCAGCGAGGGCGGGCGGGAGGAGCCGAGACCAGACGCTTCCTGTTGGATGTTGACAGAGAAGGAGGGGGGAGGGGGCAGAGAGGTAACCTCCCATGGCCTCGAGGCGATTGGAGGAAAGATGCTCGAGGAGGAGGGAAGCGGAGTAGCGCGAGGAATCCTTTTAGCGGGGGACAGGATTTTGCTTGCGAGAGCTGTGCGGTCACAGACAGAGGAAGGACTGGAATAAATCGTGGCGGAATAGTCGCCTATTTCCCGAAGAAAGGCAGAAGAAAAGACACGATGAGGATGAGCTCCTCCGGGCGGAGCGTGACGGGACGTGGCCAGGAGGCCCTGGGGCGCCTCTCGCCCTGGCACTGGGGTAGGGGGTGGGCAAGCCTTCGACGCCGAGGGCAAAGAGGGAATCCGACAAATGACACTAAGAAACGGTTAATTTAGAGCGTCGCTACATTTTAGTCGTAATAACAGGGTACTTGAAAAAGGTTTACAAGCAGAACATGAGTGACACTTGTTTTCTGACGCATGGCCACTGCTTTTTGGTGGGCCTAGTGAATGCAGGCTGTTTTTCGCCAAGGCCATTGTCTGCCCCTTGACCTGCCTTGCGCCCGCGGACGGACGCGGCGAGCACGCCCTTCCGAACCGTCAGGAGAGGGTTCGTCCGGCCCCTTGCCTCCCAGCACCAGCGCCGGGCCTTCGGCGTTCGGGAAGGAGGGAGATGGAAGGAGGACGAAGGTTGCGTGGAGGCCGTCGCTCCCTCCCCGCGCGGCGTCTGCGGCTTCGGCTGCGGCCAGTGACTGCGGTCGCGGATGCCTTGAGGGGCGAGGGCTGCCCGGAGGGGAGAGAGGGGAGGGGCAGCCCCCGGCGCACTAATGAGTCCGCCGTCGTAATGGGTGGGAAAAGTTACACAAACTTCCCGTTGGGCTGACGCACATGTTCCTGCTGCTCGCCCCTGCCTGCGATGGTCCTCCGCCGGCCGCAGCAGCGAGTCCTGAGGCCCGTCGAGCGAGCAGAGCCTCTGCAGGAGGCGTCAGAGGCCGACGCGCCAGCGCCGCCACGCCGGCCGCCGTGCGAGCGTGTGCTTCTCGGCCCGTGGAACGTCGGCGCGGTTGCCGCCACGCCAATGAGTGCGAGGATCAGCATAAAATTGCGCCTTTCCAATTCGACGGATATCGATATAAAAACGGGCAGCCGCCGTCATCGTGGACTGATGAATGATAATGAAGCGCATCATTATAGCGCCAAGGGGGGGGGGGCGATTGGGGATTTGCGATCCGGATTGATTAGCCATTATTTCGCGCGGACCGGAAGTGGCAGCAAGGTGTCAGCGAAATTTTGCAAAACATTCCAGGTGCGGAAGCAAATATGAACCCGGTGATTCGGACAAGAAGAATGTAGACAAAAAAAGAAGACATAATTTGAACGAAAAGGAAATGGAAAGAAGATAGGATTGGTAGCTCCGCGATATTTAAAGAGCAAAGATAAGGGAGCATTCATCCGGAAAGTCGTTCGTGCGTCGCCGTCAGTGCCCGGGATTAGTGCGCATTTACTGCGTGCGGATAGCGCTGGGGGGGGGGGGCAGAAAGGAAGCACATTTAGATTATTACCAACTCCCTTTTTGTTTACTCTCTTCGACTAATGCGCTCTTTTTTGTCTCTCACTTCCCATCGCCTTCGTCTCTTTCTCTTCACCTGTCTTCCTTTGAGCCATGTCCTCTTCCTTCTCTCTCTCTATCTGTCTATCTATCTATCTGCCTCTTTCTCTTTCACTTCCCTCTTTTGCTCTCCCCTCTTCTCTCCGCCTCACCACATTTTTTTCGCCCAGAGCTTAATTTTGGGATTTTTGGACTGCAATCCTGTCCAGCGAAGTTCTGCGGATTCCTAAGTCGACCGACAGGCAGCTTCCGCTCACCTCGTTGTAGTAATATCAGAAGTAGTAGCCGCAGTAGAGGTAGTTCTAAGACCTGTTTAAGTTGTATCGAAAGATATTTTTCCTTCTACCCCCCCCCCCTCCTTTCGCATCTCGCCTTCCGTCTCCTTCCCTCCCTCCGCCTCGGCCGCGCTGCTTCCGGTGTCGTTGACTCCCCTGCTCTTGGCCTGCGCCGTCGCCGCCGCCGTCGCCTCCGTCCTGCAGCTCGTTCGCCGCCCTCTGCGCGCAGCGTCTCTCTCGTCGCTGGGGCTGCGTCTGTGCGCTTCTCCCTCTCCGACGCCATGGCAGCTCTCCTCGCAGTTCGGTTTCTTTGGGGAGCTTTTACGGGCGTCTCCGAGGCTCTCAAAGGGCGTTGACACACAATTTGGCTTTTTGCGGGCGTCGAGTTATGGGATTTGTGAGGCTATGCAGCAGATGGCGACGCAATCTGGCGATAAGCATACACGCTCTGATACTCAGATTACGCGCTTACATACACAGAAACATGCACACACACACACACACGCGCATGTACGCACGCACACGTATCCTGCGAAGGGAAAGATATAGCGCGAGGTCGCTGTATAGCCTGCGAAGCGAGCCTCTGGAAGCAAACCTTGCAAGAACCCTGAGAATTCCTTGAACCTTGGGCGAGGGCGAAAGGTCAAAGAATAGAAAGGTAATTTGTTCATTATGGCAAATGATTTTGTAAGTTTTGTTCATTTTTTGTTGTCAGTGTTGTTGGATGCTGGCAAACTTGATTTTATGTCTTTGTGATGATCTGATTGAAATGAATTGCTCATCGGTTTTTCAGTAATATTTTGCATAACACTGAAATCATGACCTTTGAATCATCCAAATGGAAGGAGGATTATTTTTTCCGTGAAATATTGCCACAGTTTAAAAAGCTAAGAACAGGTTTTAAAAGACCTCAAGGAAAAGAGGGCTCGGCGAGGTGTTCAAATGTTACGAAATGGCTGCAAGGGAGCGAGCGGCCTCATGATTTCGCAAAATGCGTCCTTGCGAAACAATAGCATGAAAGCTTCGGTTCCCACGGACGGGGAAAGGACCGCTCGGGACACCAGCGCTGGAGCGGAGAGAGGCTGAGGAGCGCAGACTGAAGTGGGAGGCTCTTTCGCTCTGTCGCTCCTCACGGCACGGGAGATGGAGGAGGAGGCAGACGGAGAGATCGACACTCCGGCAGCGCTGTCTCAAATACGCAGAGGGTTATGAGCCGTATTCATGTTGAAGAGATATTCGAAACCGGTCAAATACGTCTCTTGCATTGTGAAGGTATTCATTCTCGTTCATACCTTTCTACATGCGCAGAGGGAGCAACAGTGTGAATGTTGCATTGCCAAGGGCTCCCTTCTGATTGGCGCCGGCGTTTATGTTTGCTTGGAAAATAAACAGTTTTCGTAAACAGTTTAGGCAAAAGATAAGGAAGGGGAGAGTAACAATAAGTAGCAGAGGGAAAAAATTAGGATTGATTCTCATGGCACTGAGAACACCATTTCGGATGCAGTCTAACGTCCTGCACAGGAGAGAGAAGTCGTCAGCGGAAGAAGTCAAGACTCTTCCTCTCCTTCTTTTCCTGTGTGCGCTTGCATGCATGTGTACCTCAGTGTGAATGCATGTTTGTGTATGTTTACATGCATATCCTTCCCTCGCAGCGCTGGCAGGGTGCCTCCGATTCCTCGCTTCTGGAGGCGCCCTCGGAAGGACGGGAAGCCGGAGTCGCTGCAGAGACCGCGTTCGCCGGAAGCGCCGACGGACTCGATTGATGAAAAGGCCAAAACGTTGCCTTTCGACGATGGGTCTTTGCTTGCCACATTAATTCTTATGCGCGATATGACTCCGTCGAGCAGTAGGAAAGCAATCGCGGAGCAAA